GAAATACCATTGTTTATACGTGAAAGGATTTGCAGTCGCACCTACCCCCTCTATTTGAAAATCCTAGATCTGCGACTCTGAACACCAAAACAACATGCACCGATCACAAATAGAAATCAAAACCAAAGCTTCCGAGGGAATCGACTTCTGATAATTACTGATTTCTTTATGATAACCTAGCAATATAATATTATGATTAAAGTCGGGCATGTGACTAGAAAACACGTGAACGAAAGCCAACATTAAACAAGTATGACTGATTACACACACTTTGACTGCAAAAAAAAAATCAGTGTCTTTATCAAGTGTCATCATATTCGCTGAAGGTTCGGCTTACGTCATGTAGTTCAACCCAGTGTACGGGGTTGGCTCAAACCCCGCCCAAAGTGGTTGATATTTTGGTTTTACTTGATAAATTATAAAATAAATACATACACACTGCAGCTTAACGGTGGTAAAAATGTATATGTCTGTGGATTAAAGTAATAGCAAGTATGTTTCGAAATTGCAACATGAATAACATCACATTAAGGGGGCAAAAATGTACGTACTTATCGGGTACAATAATTATTTTGAACCCATAGGTAGTCGGACTTTATCCAAGGTGCCACGCGGTATTAAGTATTAAACATTTCAAAACTACAGTTTCGCTCGCGAAAGGATATTTGAATGACAATAAGTAAGCAGAGTCTTATACAAACAAAATGAGTTATTTGTTAGCAAGTATTCTATTGCTTGAAAACGTGCCACGTGAAACTCATTAATGTGTGCATGAGCGTGCAATAATAAGACAAACAACTTTTTTTGCACGGTAACAGTCAGACCGCAGCGCATACTCGTTCGCGAACTTGACTGATTTGCGTGCGCTAAACTGAGCTTTATACGGTTATTTTGCAGCGTCATGCTTTCGTGACGGAATGCAATAATTTCAGAATTTCTCTTCATTTCTATACCTAATTAATAATAATAATAATAATAATAATAATAATAATAATAATAATAATAATAATAATAATAACAATAATAATAATAATAATAATAATAATAATAATAATAATAATAATAATAATACTAATAACAATAACTAGTTCTTATATAGCGCTTTTCAGGACCGAAGGCCCTCTCAAAGCGCTTTGCAGATATATATATCATTACCCCGGTCATCGGATTCAGGCTTACCCGCATAAAATGTATGCACATTCTCCACTCCCTGGGGAGCATTCCAGCCAGGCGTCTTTTTTACAAGCGCACACTTGCTAATCTAACCACATTAGCTTTTGCATCCTACCGGGTACCCATTTAACACCTGGGTGGAGAGTGGCAAATGTACATCAATGTCTTGCCAAAGGACATTAGTGCCGCGGTGGGACTTGAACCGCGGACCTTGTGATCCACAGTCCGGTGTCATATCCACTCGTCCACTACATCTCTAACATAATCCATAAGCTTTAAAGAACTATTTTTACAATATGAATCGACTGTAATTTTGCAACTTTTGCATCAGCGTTTTTGCAAAGTTTTAGTAGTGATGATGGTTATTTTACCTGACTGCTAAGAAAGCATAATAAATGCTTGTCAGTAAGCAACCAGTAAAGTTATTTGTGTCTGTGGTTCCTGATGCAGCTACAAAAGCAAATCGTATAATTCGTATGGTTTACCAGAGAAATCATTCCAGTGAACACAATATGTCAAATTGAAGTTGACGCTAAGGCGTATTCTTCTATTCTTCTATATTTTTAATAACGAATTTTGCCTTAAAATAGATTTTATTTTTTTAAATTGAACACTTAAATAGTTCTAAGCTGGCGCGAAATTATGTCTACGGCACGAAGTTAATTGGTTCATGCCAGGAACCGGCTGGCTTATATCCATCAAAATACTATGGGGAGTATAATGTTTAATCATGATTTTCCTTCAAGAGGATGGAAGCTCTTCTTATATCACTACTCGCACCGATTACCAAAGGCGTATAGAATGACTTTATCTTTCAAAACTAAGGGAAGACATATAAAATAATATAAGCCGGAGCAATAATTACGGAGGATTGGGGGACCCGTTTTCCAGATTTGTTTCAGGGAGGGGGCACATCGCTTTACCCGCCGTAAATTTGCAGAAAAGGAATTTAACAAAAATATGCAGCGAATAATAAGTTTAGCCTACAGCAAACTATTCAAGTTCTGATAATGCACAGATTAAATCAAAATCAAAATCATCTGATGAAAAGTATAGTTTCTATTTAGTGAAGACGGACTCATAATTCATAATCATCCTATAAGACAGTATTGTTTATACCTACCGCAGACATTCAAAACATATATTGCATGACATTCATGTTAAGAGTTTGGTTCGTTATCTACATGTACCACAGTAAGACGGATATTTCATGATTATCCTATCAAAAGTATGGATTATATCTACTACAGACTGACCTGTAATAGGCCTATTCCATGCTCATGCTCTGAGGTGTATATGGTTTCAAACATACACTGTTGGTCATACAGGTGAAATAATTATTTTTACCCCAATTTATGGAATGATTTTGACAATGATTTATTCCAAATAGATCTAAATAATAGTATACATTCTCAGATTACATTGAATAATATTTTGCGAGTGTTTGTGTTGCGTGACTGCTAAAGCTTATGTGTGCTACTATGCTAATTAACTAGGGGACCTACGTCCTTAAGTCATAACTGACAGTACTGAGGATTAATGCCTCACTAAAGGACACTAATAAAGCAGATTGACACGGTTTTCATCCTGGGGCCTCACAGTAACGAGACCATTGCTTAGCCACTGAACCATGACTGTACGCAGCGGGGGGCTAAGGTACGGGGCAGTTCCCACAAATACAAAACAAAAATGCAATTATTCCACCTTTATGACCAACAGTGTATATTATACTAAGAAACACTTATATTTCTTGATCATCCTTTGTGGACTATAGTTTATAAATATCCCCAAAGGCAGGCCCATATCCCATGATCATACTATGAGGAGTATACTAAAGAAAGACTTATATTCCATGATCAATATTATGAGAATGAAAAAATGTATATTTATCTGGTACGTAATTCAAAGTACACTTTTATCTACCTCAGATATACGTGATGTATTCCATGATCATCAAAATGTAAAATAAGGCTACATAATCAAGCACAAACAATCTTATGTTCCAAGAGTATCCCAATGGAGAGTATGGTTCATATCTACCTGGTCTACTACCAAAGACAGACTTAAAGCCCACGATCATTCCATGTCCACCACAGATAGACCCTAAATCTTTCTAGTCATTATGTAATCATACATCCAAACCTTCAGTTCAATCATTGCAATTCAATTCAATCATAGTAACATTTATTTTCCTCTACATTTCATATTACAAAATAGTAATGAAATTCATACATACAAATTGTATGTAAAAATGTATGTTAAAATGACAAAAATCTTTTCGTAGAGCATATTAACACATTGAAGATACTGACACAGTTTTCCCCTGTAAAATTGCAAATTCAGAAGTCGACAGTATCTTCCACATACTCTCGCGGCCATGCTAGAATTTTACTGGAGCAGTCATGTTAATTAGCTGCAAGATTGCGAGATATTGGACAGAGTACGCTCTCAACGCACACGCACTAACGCACACACACACACTAGAACACGCTCATCCTACTTTAGATAAGCCTGTAACTACTTATGCATCAGCCGCGTTCTTGTTCATTATATCTGTTTGCGTCTGAAGACTTACATTATTTTTTGACGCTCCTAATATTTCGTATCAAAAGGATCTGCCGATTTATATGCCAGGTTCATTTCTTTCTACGAGTTTTCTATTGATACTATTATTATCACCGGGAAATATGGATCTGTGTGACTTATGATGTCTGAAGTAACCATCCACGCAATTTTACTCGCGGACATTTAAAAGTGGAGTAAGGTTTGCCAAGCTGTCCGTTCGTCTCTCGAAAATGGAAGGACAGGAAAATGAAACGAGCAACTCGATACTTGAAAACATTACAGAGCCTGCCAGATTTACTCTTAGGCCACCGAAGCAATATCTCATCTTCCAAGCAGCTTTTCTCTCCATCATCTTAGTAATAACTATCTTTGGCAATATGGCGGTAAGTCAATTCACTTTATACATCTATATTTCAACTGAATTGAATTCGATTCACATCACCTCAATTCGTTTCAATTCAAGTCATGTCACATTCGATTTACATGAGCTTCAAGTCAACCTTGGTTTTATTTTAACATGGCTTCGCAGCCATTTATGTTTTGCAAAGATCCGACTTTCTGAAAATAGGGCTTCGCTCTGATTCCAAAACATGAAACCATTCAATAATTATTTGTTCAACTTTGATGTTGACACGATAAATTGATATCGACGGGTTAAATAAAAGGAATCATCGTAACTTTTCTGTTAAAGTTTGATCAAAACGGTATAATTATTGACTACATGGGTGCTTTTTCCTGTATACATGTCAGTTTTTAGCATTGCCCTGTAGTATCGGTGAAAAGTGTGGTTACTTTTAAATGTTGCAATAATGTGTGTTCACTTTTTTCTTTTATTAATGTGTTCATAGCTTTGTAAATATTATATTTCGTGTCCAATAAAAGTATTCATTTCAATCATTCGAAGTGGTATATAATCTTTAATCCACGATCGGTTTGCTCCCCTGACTATCTTGGGCATCCTTATCATTATTCGCGTACATCATATTTCAGATTAGTCCAATTTCTTCCCCTCTGCCTTTTGCCATTAACCCTTTATTTGACACCCATGCTGACTCTACAGTCAGCAATAGGAATAATCCAACTTTGATTTAACATCCATTCCGCGCTTGATACATTTTGAAGTGCAACATGAATGGAAACTGTTTATAAAAACTAGTTATTGTAATGACATGTGCCAAATAAAGATCTGAAAACATTGACAAGTATAGTGAACCTCTAATTGGAATTTCTCTTTCTCCCTCCTCCACGCAGGTGTGCTATGTAGTCTATCGAACGCGTAGCATCAACACGGGTACCGGCATGTGTATGACGTCACTATCCATTGCAGACCTGCTTCGTGGGTGTACCGTCTTACCGTTCGTGATCGAGTCATCGGTCCAGCTCGGGGTTTGGAACCTCGGACCTGACATGTGCGCTATGGTCGGGTTTCTTAACTCACTCTTTGGAAGTGCCAGTGTCATGACACTGGCTGCTGTCTCTCTTGATAGGTAGGTGTGCAGGAGCGGATCCAAGATTTTCCAAAGGGACGGAGGGGTGGGGTCGAATAACAACAGCATATGCCTGATTAAAACAAAATGTGTCGTAACCAATTACCCTCCAGGAATGCTCAATTCATGAATTAATATTATCTGGCCAAAGATGCACACGGGTAAACGTTGACCGGGCTTTCAGCGGGAACGGTTCACGAGTCCGAAAGCTCTGTTCTCTTTGATATTCTGACAATGTGTCTAAATGTTCAGAGAACAACAGGTTCTGTATAGCATAGACCTTTACCTGTTTACAAGCACGAAACTGAAGGTTATCGAGGCCAAATTTCTCGATCTACTTGTCTTTGAGGTCTAAGGGAATGGATGTCTGGAAATAAGACTGCACCAGTCTCAAGATTTGTTTTGAATCACGTGACTGTTCTTATAAATGTTATGTGTAGATGGCCACACAAGGGATTCATCCATCCACTACTTTACTTTTTTTTAAATAATGAACTATCAACAAAAAGAAATACATTTCTTACTTTATAATCAGAATACCTTATTATCATATAATTGTTATTAGGATATTGTTATTATAATTATGTATCATAGATAATATTGTTGTATGTTAACATTTCTTTGTATTTTTGTTAAGCGCTTATAGAAATATGGTATTAAGCGCCTTATAAATGTAATAATATCACTGTTATTATTATTACTTTGTGTGGAAAGGCCTACAGATTAGTTATGTAGATGTAAACATTCTTAATATGTGTTTGTACTACTTTTCCCATTTTACAGATATGTTGCTATAATGAAGCCGCTCAAATATTCGAGGATCGTCACTTCGTTGCGTGCCGGCATCATGCTTGCTATCATCTGGGCTCTGTCAGCGACGATGGCCGCCCTGCCATTGGTTGGATGGTCCGAGTACCGGTTCATCCCATGGATATGCCTCTGCGTCGCGGACTGGACCGAGAACTGGTCCTATGCTTACACGTACCTGGTCCTGACCCTATTTACACCACTGTGCATCTTGCTCTACTGCTATTACAATATATTTCGCATAGCAAAGCTCCAATCCCGAAGAGTGGTCTCGATGGAGAGGACATCTGTTCAGACCTCGCGAACAGTCTACATCGGGAAGCCCAAAACACGGATGCGAAGAGAAAAGAAAGCCGTCATGATTCTTTGCGCTGTTCTTGGTGTCTTCATCCTATGCGTGATGCCATTTTATGTTGTGTATCTTCTGTCATCATTCGACGTATCTAATAGTATCTATGTTGCCTTAGGAATCACATCCCTCCTATCTTTCATCAACTCCGCCGTCAACCCTTTAATTTATGGCATACTTAATCGAAAATTCCGTCGAGTGTTTGTCGAGGTCTTAACGAACAACCCATGCAAACGGCGTAATTCAGTCCAACCGTCTCCCAAATCTCATCATCCAGTTGATTTTATCTCAGAATATGTCGGCAGGAGCGCTTCACTTCCACCCAAGAAGCTTCAAAAACTCGTACCACGAGAGTGTTACTACATCAAAACTACATCATGCATGCAGAAGGGATGTGCATCGCATAAAAACGTATTAACTTTCTCATTATCATCAAGTACCGACGTTTGCCTATGTGCCTTAGGTGATTCAATCAAACAATACCCCTTTATTTCTTACGACACACAAAGAGAAGCTACTTCAATTAGAAAAATGGATTCATGGGGAGTTTACTAAGTTCTGAAATATAATTACTTGTATTACATAAAAAAGATCAGCAACGTGAGAACTATATTAAGAGCCGTGAGACAGGGATCATGAAATGGTAATTTCGACCATCATCATTAACACTTGGTGCTTAAAAGCAAGGGCCGTGAGAGGTTTATGACTATATTACTTAACCTTCTCTGACATCAAATTATATGTTAGTCACAGTAATTAAGGCCAATAATTAGCAATCAGGCCTTGGATGCTCTAAGATTAGGAATACAGGAAGGAATTGATGGGGAAAATCGAGTTTTAACAACGAACATAAACAATGTTAATTTTTTCTGTATTATCGAATTTTCTTTCGATATGAATCCGAAACTTCTACATGAGGAAAATAAACGTCGTTTGGTTATCCATATCTGAATACGGGGTAAGGAAGGGTCGGGGTGGGTTAGGCCTGCCTGTTTACAATCATGCACACCTAAAGAGAATATAGGTTATGAGAGCTCTAAAATGAATTTATTTTATATATGTATTTTTATATTCCTAAAACTAAGAACCAAAATCTTTTTGATGCAATAAAATTGTAAACATCTTGTCGCGGATGACCATGTGCCTAACTTTCCAGAAATAACTGCCGCCTCCACCACTACAACCACGATTAGGCTTACTACTACTACTGCTGCTGCTTCCACTACCACCACCACCAGCGGCTGGCTGGCTGAGTCGTTGCGAAATTTTCGGCCCGATTTCAAAATACTTTCTACTACTACTACTGCTACTACTACTACTACTACTACTACTACTACTACTATACTACTACTACAACTACTACTACTACTACTACTGCTACTACTACTACTACTACTACTACTACTACTACTACTACTACTACTGATACTACTACTATTACTGCTGCTGCTACTGCTACTACTACTACTACTACTAATGCTACTACTACTACTACTACTACTACTACTACTACTACAGCTGCTACTACTACTACTACTACTACTACTACTACTACTGCTACTACTACTATTACTCCTGCTGCTGCTACTACTACCATTACTACTACTACTACTACCAATACCACTACTGCTAATAGTACTACTTTGAAATTAATACTACTAGTACTAGTACACTGTATTTCTTTTTACTAATATTGAATATTAAATTTGTTCTCTACTGCTACTAAAATAATTTCATAACATTAACAATGTAAATGATAATACTTCTATGTTGCTGTCACTTTTGCTGCTACTAATACTAATGCTGCTGCAACAACTGCAGCTGCTACAACAACAACAACAACAACTTCTAATATTAATACTTCTACTACTACTACAACCTACTCATACTATTATTAATGATACAATAGTGTGATGATTCTTACAAAGGCTGTTACTACTTCTACTTCTACTACTACAGCTATGCTCTTACCTAATATAATTGATAATATAAAAATTATCGTTTTTGTGATTCTCACCCTGAGCGTAAGTAGTTAAAACATCTTTTGCAGAAACCATTTTTTTTGTGAGCGCTGATTTGATTATGTTGTGTAGAAAGTTTGAATAAATAATTGAAATTGAAATTGCCGTCTTCTTTGTCATTTGATTTTCTTGACACCATGTGTCATTAAAAAAGGACAGGTTTTTAAAGTGGCGTATATAGCATACAGTGAAGTTTGTGTGTGTGTGTGTGTGGGGGGGGGGGGGGGGTGGAATTGGTGTAATAAGCCAGGGCCCCGTCTTAAAAAGAGTTGATATTGATCCGAATCAATATCAAATTCCCAAATCAATCACAAGTTTGTCTCCCATCTCTCATGTACATAGTTGTGATTGATATCAATCACAAATAAGTTGCGATTGATATCAGTTCTTTGTAATACAGGGCCCTGTAGCACGAAACTCTGATCTGTCCAAATACAACCACCTCCTCCACCCCATTCCCCTCCCTGCTTAGGAAGGGGGGGGGGGGTCTTACCTCTTGTTTTTCAACTTCGAGATACTGTACATCCCTGGGTCGTGTGGAACACAAATGCAAAACACAAGGGGGGGGGGGCTCAAAAGTGCTGCGAAACATTTTCTGTATATTATGATACCGCCCTTTACAATATAAAACGGTGTGTTGATGCACGTGACTGTTGGCCTACAGTTTTCTGTTTTTAATGAAATAATATAAAACGTTTCGGAATAAACGTACACTGTACTTCAATGTATCCGTAATCCGGTTGCTATAGAAACGTCCTCACTGCATCCTTTAAATCTAATAGGAGTTGGAATTGTTTACATCTTTATGTCCTTCTAGGCATGCATTAAGAACACAAATTCCCTCTGATGGCCAATTTGCTGCAGTAAAATGTTTAAAGTCATGTTCAAGTTACTATTACATTAATGAACTGCTTTTTAAGATGGATTTGTTATTTTTATGAATAAATGATCTTGACGTTTGTCAGTAAAAATTTGCGTCATTTCTCATTTTGTTTGATTGTTAAAAGAGTCGTAGAATTTTTTTATTAAAAAAGTTTGACATTTCACATTCAAACCTGAATAAACATTTTCCTGAAAACATGAAATATTGAACAAGGATAATAGACAATGATAACATGGCAGTTGTGAAAATACTAATAATCAGAACTTTGTATTCCAACTTAATATAAAACAACTTTAGCGGCTTCGGGATTATCTCTCGTTTCTCACTTCTTTTATTGCTTATTATTTTATCAAATCAATGGCGTAGCTACGTCCCCCCCCCCCCCAATCGAATGAGAAAAAAAAAACGAAACGAAAGGTGAGAGCGAGGGGAGAGATGAACGAAAAGGAAAAAGAACTTGAGATAATATAAGGGATTAGAAAATGCTCTTCGAATATTGATGACTAAATCAAATTGCCTTTTTTTTTTTTAATTATAAATCTGGAAAGCATATTTTCTTACAAGAGGCCCTTACGGCCCTCACGCGAAAATGTGCCCGTAAGTCTATGTGTACAAGGGATGGAAAAACAAATTCTCCTCAATTAATTAGGGATTGGTTTTTACAAGAAATGGTTTAACTCCTAAAAGGATGTCGTGACTATGACAATAAATTAAAAAACGCTAATCTAGTAGACCAAATTCTGGTGCCCCGCCCCCCCCAAAAAAAAAACACTAAAAGTTACTAAGCCCGCGCTTCGCCACTGTATCAAAATGATTTGCTTGTACAGGGAATGAAAGTGAATACCAGCGACCTCTATATGTGACAAATTGAATTCTCAAGACTACTATCTTGAGAATTCAATTGTGCAATATCCCTTTATGGCCCCCCTTTTTTTAAAGAGGATGGGGGTTATTAGCTCATAAATTTCCCTCTCCAACAACGATTTGCATGCGGTAGTAACTCGATTTGCACGCTGGGTTTAATGAATAATAATGCGAGGCATGGTGGTAAATGATGACATTATCCGTTTCCGAATATCTCTCTCATTCTCTCATTCCCCCCTCCTCTCTCTCTCTCCCTCCCTCTCTCTCTCTCTCTATCTCTCTCTCTTTCTCTCTCTCTCTCTCTCAATCTCGATCTCTCGAGGCAATTTGTTAATCAGTGGATTGTGAGGTCTGGTGGCGTACGCAGGATTTGTTCAAGGGGGGGGGGGGGGGTTTCCCAAAATCATACACAAAACATACATATAAAAAACTCAAGGGGAGGGGGGGGGGTTAACCCCAAATGCATCACCTTGTCAAGCTAAATTATTGTTGAAACAATGCAGTCATTTCTTGATGCATCGCTTCCCGATGTCCCTCTTAATTTTCCACGTATGTATTGATCCCTGACACACTTAGTACAAAGAAAGTGAAAAGCATGAACATTTTTAATATGGCTCTATTGGGCAGTAAATATAGAGTGAATGTGACGAGCAAAATAAAAACTCTCTCAAAATCCCTCCACCTTGAAATTGGGAAACTGGGAAAATCATGTTTCTTTTCTCTTGTGGACTAATACACTGTCGGTCATTAAGGTGGAATATTTTTTTTTTTTTTTTACTTTTGACCAATCGTAGAGCAAGATTCTTAGTATGTGGAATATAATAGCATATACATGCTTTAGCAATTCCGCAAAACACACATTGGCAAATTTTTATTTAACAAAATCTGAGAATGTATACTATTATCTAGGTCTATTATTTTTTAATTATTTTAAAAATAATTCCATAAAAAAAATTAATTGGGGTAAAACTAAAATATTCCAACTATATGAGCGACAGTGTAGTATGCCACTCGTGTTTCAAAAAGGGGAGAGGGCACGGACAGGCCGCTGTGCCCCCCCCCTCCCCCATTGAATCCGCCAGTGATGGAATGGGGTTGGGTTCGGAAGGATTCTGAAAGGTTCTGGTATTAATGAAAATGTGAATGGTGTATCATGCAGTAGATAGGTAAGATGTTTTTTTTTCAAACCATCATCCCTGAAAAAGCAACTTAATGTGCTTGACGCACGACACACGACATTAGAATCCATATGTAAAAACATGTAAAACCTGCAAAAAACCATGACGTGGGTCGACATTTTTAACTTCGATATCTTGTTGTCTTCTATGATATCTCACAGTGATTATGAATATTATACAGCTTCTACAAACAAGGAGAAATTATACAGCTTCTACAGTGTGAGTCTAAAAAAAGTTTACACCTAGAAAATTGCTAATTATTTTAAAATTCATCTACGAACATTATCATACATCTTATGAAAGAGTATTTTATCCCAAATCATTCGGTATCATTATTTTGTTTGTGGTATGTGTTCACGCTTGGATGAACAGGGGACATTGTTTAAGAGAGTTCAACACTCGACTTGGGCCAAAGTAATGCTTATGTGATGTTTGAATAAAACAAATGGGAATTGGATATTAATTCGGTCTTTGTAGATCCAAATAACATCCCTAACAAAATTAAGCATGCCAAACATATCAAATATTAAATATCAAATATCAAAGAACATTTTTGCGCGTTCGTGTAGTGTACGTGTGTGACTTTGCTTCTGCAAAAAGCATATGTAATGCATCTCATTTAATTCAATTCATCCTCTCACTTTAATACTTTTGTGCAAAGTCAATTTTTGCACTCTCACAAAACATTGCCTCCTGCTCATCCAAGCGTGAACACATACCATACCAATACCAAACGATTCGGGATATAACACTCTTTCAAAACATATATGATAACCTTTCGTTCATAGCTGACTTTTAAAATAAGTGACAATATTCTGAGTGTAAATTTGTTTTGGACTCACACGGTATATACCAAATAGGTTGGTAGGTGTGTTTTAGTCTTGAATGTTCAGTTATTTAGGAGAAGCCATGAGATCAAATTAGTTTTAACTATTTCACCAGTGAGCACTTATTTTTACTTTTAAGAAGGATGGAGGAGGAGGCGGTTATGAGCTGTTGCGCAATATCGGCAGATTGGCACAGTTTCCGGTTCCGGGGTGTAAAAGCACCGATATCTCGAGAAGATCGGAAATTCTGAAGAGCTTTTTATGCCTGGGTCATAGAAGCAGCTTGCTTGAAAGGCGACTGATGAACTACCTTAGGATAAAACTTACCATGGCAATATCCAGGGGCGGCGATTTCTTTTCATGACCGGGGAGGGGGGGGGGGGGGCGAAATGCGAGGGACAAGGGAGCAGTGCAATAATGTTTTTTTTGGGGGGGGGCAGAAAAAAAATCCGCATCACCACCACTTTTACACGTTACGCAGGCCCTGGGAACGTTTTCCAAAATGGGGGGGGGGGGGCTAAAGTATTTACGATCAGGTAGAGCAAAGCAAAGCGAAGCGTACATTGGCGTGGGGTCCAGGGGCAAAGCCCCGGCGGGTGTCAAGGGGCGGAGCCTAATGAAGCTCAGGGGTTTTAGGCATTTATTAAGGTCAGACGAGCATCCTGGGGGCGGAGCCGCGGAGGCTCAGGGGTTTTAGGCATTTAATTACGGTCAGATGAGCATATTTTGATACCTTATTTGTGACACTGGCATGCAAGTCACTTATTGGGGTGGAGTCCAGGGGGCGGAGCCCCCAGAAGCTCAGGGGTTTTAGGCATTAAATTACGATCAGATGAGCATCAAGGGGCCGCCTTAGGGCCCTTGGTGGGGTCCAGGGGCAGGGCACCCGGAAGGTCAGGGAAAAATCATGCCATTTCTACAATATTTGTAAATCACTGGTATCGAATTAAAAATAAACCACGTTTGAATTTCATTTTGGGGGAACTGCCCCCAACCCCCCCCGCACCCATCAGTACGCAAATGCGAGGGAGCATAGTGAATGAGAGGGGTGAAGGTGACGGAAGTGACTACCCCCTCACAGGTTTTTGAAGTTTTGTTGTATTACAAAATTACATTCCTTAGCAAAACTATAGTATAAACGTTAGCAATATATACCATTTTTCACTCTTCAATTTTCTCGGTATTTACTTGTTAATTTTGAAGGATATTATGCGAGGGAGCGTAGCTACTGAGTGAGAAGATTTTTGCATTTGTATTTATTAAACGCTGCACTCTTGGGCCCTCCAGAGCCTAATAGTGTGTTGCAGTTTTTAGTCAGTATTTGCTATACAATTTTTTGTGTATACTTTTTCAAATTTTGAGGGGGGGGGGGGACGATCCCCTCCTAAAAAAAATCGAGGGGGACGTGTCCCCCCCCCCCCCCGTCCCTCCGGGATCGCCGCCCCTGGCAATATCACTCAACAGTCTGTCAATCGAATCAAGATTTTTTTTAATTTTTTTTTTACAGGGAATCATCAATAGTGCTATGCAACGGGGCCCGTATCAGCAAAGTAGTTTACAGTCAACATGAGATGGCGCTCGTTCATTAAACACAAACGAGATTGCTCCTCAACTTGCCAACGGCATAGCGAGTTCAACGAGACAAGTGCACGATAGTCCGACAGCAGACCGTATATTTATGTACCCCTAAATGACCAAGAATCGGTCAGTGTTTAGAGACGGATGGACTCTGGAGTCGGTTTAGTGGTGTGACTGAGGTTCAGGAGCGTGGATATGGCTTATCATAAATGATTAAACCAGAGAGAAAAGAAAGAAAGAAGAAAGAAAGAAAAAAATGAAAAAGAAAGATGAGAAGAAGAAAGAAAAGAAAATTAGTTTGTTTTCCTTTGAATCACATTTTTGGCTGCCTTTTGGGGCTACCATTGAGGCTGGGGGCAGAAGTTCCCACATAAGAATGAATGGCACATTCCCCCCCCCCCCGCCCCCCAAAATTAGAAAACTAGAAAATTCGCAAGCAGGGACGGAGTCTCCCAAAGTGTTTGTTGGTGGGGGGGGGGGGGGACACTTTCTGGAAAAAGGACACCTAGAAAGGGAGCCTTAAAGCAAAATATATACCTTTCAAGACACTGGGTATATATATATATATATATATATATATATATATATATGACAACCCCTTCCAAAGTGATGACGACCCCAACCAAAGGAAACCATGGATAGGAACAACAGTCTAAGACTGAACAATCCTGAATCGAGTGAGTTACAAGTGTATATACCCTACATTGTGATTACATTATCAGGGAAGATTTTAATCTTTGTTTCTCTCTTAACATGGTCCAAGAAACTACTTAAACATCATTTTAGTAGTTGCAGTTAGGTGTGGGTGTATCCAAATATTCATTTGCGAGCAGGCAAGGAGAGCAAGATAAGTTTTAAGATTTGAAAGGACGCAGTGCGAAAAGTTACATTTTATAAAGAGAAAAAAATATAAAAAATCCTTCAGCACAATCTATTAATGAAAGACTGAAAAGAATTAGATAAGTAGCACAATTATATAAACTATACAAATTTGGGGGAAATTAAGAATTTTTCTCTCTTAACCACTTAAGATTAAGAACACAAGTCATGTTGAGGAGAAAGTGAAAGAACACGTATTAGAATAGAAAAAGAGAAAAAAGAGAAGGGGCTTATATCTTTTAAAATGTGGACACTTATCACAAAAAATAAAATAAAAGTGAAAAAGGTGAAAAGGGGCAACTATCAAAAGTGAGAAAGGACACTATTTATAAAGGAAAAGGGGCACTTGTCAAATTAAAATCTAGGGGGGATCTCTCATATTTGAATAGGACATATTATCAGAGGTAAAGGGTGCACTTTTCAAAGGGGGTAAGGGGCACGTATATTATAAGAATGTGGAGCGAGCACCTGTTATAAAGAAAAAGGGGCACTTATCTGAAGTAAAAGGAGCCCTTTTGGGGGTACTTGAAAGAGTGGGGCAGGGCCACTCTGCCCCCCTCCCCCATCATAGGGAGCGCCGCCTCTGACCACAGGGAGCGTAACAAAGAATTCCTTTTATTTTGATGTAACTGAAGCTGTTATGTGAAATTTTCTTGAAACCACTGTAGCGCCATCTGTTTTCATTTATTTACTTTCCTGAGTTTGGAGTTGGACGATGTGATTTCACGTCTTATTCTTCTATTTTGTCAGTCGTGTGTTGATAGGTTGATAACCGTGGGGCCTGTGGTGGAGGGGGTGAGTGGAGATTCTCACCCTGGATTTTTTTGGACCCCTTTTGCATTCAATGCCTTTTGGCTACATCGTAGCAACCGAGCAAGATTTTAACACTTCAGGAGCAAAGTCATATTTAAAGTCTACGGGAATTGCTCACTCTCTTGACGACACATTTCTTATTATGTAGGCCTAATATTGGTTTTAAAAAGCAATTTCACGATATTGTGTACCCTAAAGTAAAGGAAGCTGGTTAAAAAAAAAAAAAAAAAACTGATGTGAAGCATTTCTGATATTTAAATGATAGAAGGGAAAATCTCCTGTTATCATATTAAAATTGTATTTTTCTAAGTAAACTTTATAGAGAGCATGGACTTTATTTATTCTTTAACTTTGGTATATTAGATACCCCCTTCCCCCACCCCCGAAAGAAACACGCGCTCTGCAGGCCAGCCGAGCTTTGCAAGGCTATAGTAATATGTCTGATGGCTTCAAAAAACATTCAGGAATTAGTCATGGTAATGGGGGGGAAAAGAGGCTCTATTTTGTATCTCACTTTCTTTCCTCCTTCCTTTCTTGATCTTTTCGCCCTTTCATGATGTTGATTTGGGTTCAGGCATTTTTTAAATTGTCTTCATTCCTTTTCCATTCATTCCCCCGAGTTTCTCTGAGTCCACACGGTGGAACTATTTTAGAAGGCTGCAGCCCCCCCCCCCCCGAACACCAATGAACATCAAGATGACCATGCAGTTTAATATACACAGATTGTGTAAATCGACGTCTCGAAGTCGAAACAAAAATTAAGCAATTCTAACTGTGTCACCGAAAACAAAGAAACAAACAAATAAACGATACTTGGATGCACATGTTAATTTTCACTTAACATCTAAATTATATATAGGCCTATACCCTTACTACATTTTGTAATTTTTAAGTATGTAAATAATTTACTTGTCCCAATTTATTTATCTGAAGATTGTAACATATCAAAGCATACATCTAAAAGTGCTCAAAAAAGGGCCCTAATTATTCCGGCCAGTCCACCTTTTATTCTTGAGTTTCGAAAAATACATTAAAAACATCAAAATATACAAGGGGTATGAATAATTTACTTAGTAATTGTATATGTTTCAAGAAAATATAGGCCCATTTCTCACTAAAAAAAAATTCTGCATGAGAGGCTCTAAGTCTAATATTATAGACCTAAAGCATTATGTAAACAAAAGTGAATATGATATAAAATTATGTCTGCATACATTGACTACATAGCATTTACTTCCGCATCAGACGTATGATAATACGCATAGCATTGCAATATTGTGCCCTTGCACCAATGCTATGTACGTGCATGCTGCTGTGACTTTGACGCGCCGATATTGAATTTGTGTGGCATCTGCTGCGGCGGTTGGAAGTTAAACGTCGGCTGTACTCTCTTGACTTTTTCATTTACGGAAATTTGATCAAGCTTGTGCAGCGATCGACATCGACTAGACGATTTCAGTGCTTAAGTTTGGAATTCTTGGAGATAATCGGTGGAAAGATAACAAGAGAAGATGTCAGCCGGTAAGTAATTCTTGCATGGTGGTTGTGTATGTTGGGTGGGCAGGGCATGTCCAACCCGCCTAGGCCTGGGCAGGGAGGCAGGGGAAGGGCCGATTGAGTCTCGTCGCCTCCGAGTGGTTCCGCGCCCATGGCATTGCAGTGAACTGGGACGTCCGCATAGAGTTGCACTGAGACATTGGTGTAACGTGTGTGCTGTCATCGCTCCACTAATTGATTAATTGTGCAGGTATAGGGTGAACATTTATCGCGTTTAGCAATTATGATTTGCCATGAGGTAGTACTTATTATATTCTTTCCTTACTAAATGGTGTAAATACTAGGCCTACATACAATTTACAATCAATATTGCATTTTGATTGGAAATGTAGAAATGTAAACAAAAATATTTACAACAATAAGGAAAGACTTCAACTGGCAATGGCTGAAATCCCTAAGTCATCATTTTACATTTCATTTAAAAATTGCTTACATCCAGAATTATGGAGGTGAATGATATTTGATGAATGATGAAGAAGCTAGAAGATGAGTAAGTTTAATGTTTGGGTTCTGAGATTAAGACCAGCTTTTATATTTTTAAGTTTGCACAGATTGTAGGGCTAATGAGGCGCGATAGCTCAGTCAGTAGAGCAGTGGTCTCATAATCCGGTGACCCGGGTTCGAAGCCAAGTTGATGCGCTAGTGCCCTTTGGTAAGGCATTAATCCTCATTACCAGTGCCCTCGGAGTGGACCTAAAGCCGTAGGTCCTCTGGTTGCTAACTTACAAGCATTTATGCTTTCTTTGCAGTCAGGTAAAATAAACACCACCAATTCTATTCATTCATTCAATGTGTGATTTCACAGACTTTTGCAGTGTAAATCTGTTGCGATTGCATGCAGAGTAGCATCAAGTCACACACACGCACTACTTACCAGTAAATTGGTATGATACACAGATGGCTGTTAATTGTTATTGATCACTGGCTATCTGTGAAATTTAAACGTTAGCAGTGACAAGTATTCAATTTATGCAAGGAAACTTGTTTGTTTTCACTGTCAGACACTTTTGTACATAAAATGAGCTGCAAAGGGTACATGAGCATTTGTCTACATCCATAACCCACTTCGTTCTTGTTATGGCCAAAATTAAACTGATTGAATCTCAAAACGTATGACCATTCGGTACAAGGGTCTGAACATCAGACTATTTAATTAAACGAGCGTGCTCGCTAAATTTGATAACTTAAGGTCATTTTCAAGCCCTTTTGTTTTGAGGGAAGTTCTAAATTAGTATTATCTTTCAAATGCTGTTGGAAATTAACCTTTTCATTTTTTGGGCCTGTAAATGGGACATAGTACCTATCACAAAAACAAAGATAATTTTGTCCACTACATGTTCACATCTATTCACTCTCATTCTCACCATCATTTTTTAATGCTTGGGACTCCAATGGGTGCAAAAAAAGCGTGACACCATATTGCACCAATGGTCTCTATAGTCTATAATATATAGGCCTACGACTTGTTACAAGTACCTTCAAAAAGTCTACAGAGCTTTAATACAATACCACTGAACAAACCCAATCCTGTGCTACAGATGCACAGTGTTTGTATACATGTACTATACATACACATGTACATAGTGTAGCTTATATATCCTGCAAGGATGTTCTACAATTTAAGCAGGAAAATAAGCAAGCATAGCATTGCCTCTCCCAGGAAGTGTCTCTTCCTAGACTCTGGGATCGTCCATATGGCAATGTAATCAAGAACACCGACTTGATGTCCGTAGATGGGCTGGGGCAGCCATCATATCAACCAAGCATCCGGCTTTTCCTGTTCGTTTATATACAGTATGTGTAGCTGGGAGAATGAAGGGATAGAATGAAAAGAGACACAGCTACATGTACGTTTACAGCTATGTTTACAACGTTACATTTGTGATCAAAGAATAGCATTATGGTAAGAGCCAGGAGGGCACTAATGTTGAGTTAAAGCCCTTCTGGCTTCCTTCAAATGATAGAGAAACAAAAGAGAGGAGGAATTATAGAAGATCCATTCACACACAAAAAAAAGTTTCAAAATGTTAGTGTTTGCACTTGTGTGATACTGTACGTAAAATGCATTTCTTACAATGTATCTCATTTCCGCTAACGTACATTGTTGGTCAATAGTAACACAAAGCACTCCATTGTCCTTACTTTTAATTACATGTTTCGTTAATTATTGTGTACAGACAAGTCAAATTAAGATTCCGATCACGATTTTAGAAAATAATATGTCGATCTTGCTATAATTATGCACTGTGTGTGAATGATCGATGGTTAAAAACCTATTGCCGGAGCACACTATAGGCCACAGCCCAAACAGGTGAGGAGAGTCACGTGACCCCCAAAACCAGAATCATTGACCGATGTTTTTACAGCAGGTTTTAAAAAAAAATCACTCTCCAGAGGTGGATTTTGCGATTTTGTTTTCTTTTCATGTCTGTTGAACACTGAAATGTAAGGAAAATCAATGATTTTTGCTTGCAGTTAAATGCAGCTACATGTACATGTAATTTGAGAGTTTGACAAACAAATATATTTACAAAGGAGAATAGTACAAAAAGTAATAGAGGGAGAAAGGGAAGAAAATGGGGGAGAGAGATAGAAAAATAAAAAGACATATCATATGTGGGAAATAGAAAAAAACAAGGTCATGACAAATTTTCTGTAAAGAAAAATTTCCAAGGAGAGAGATAGAGGAAAACAGGACATTCTTTTTTCATATTTTTCTTCATATTTTTCTTCAACCTGCAACCTTTGTTATATCTTTAAAAAAATATTGACATAAAAATAGTATAGTAGCACTGGATGAATTATAGAGGGTGAAGTAACCCCCCCCCCCTACCTCTAAAAAGGGGGAACTACTATTGAAATGGTTCAATTTCACATTGTTTTAGGCCTCTATAGTGCGCAGTCAACATTGAGCAAAGCAGCGCAGTCAAAAATCCCCATAATCCATAAAGTCAACTACATCTTAAAGGGATCCGGTAACTTTGTCTCAGATTCTGAAATAAAATTCTGGATTTAGCTCATGCTGCAATGATAATTATAAACCTGTAGGTCAGTCAGGAACCCCATGACTTTTACAAGCCGATCGCCTGTCTGATTATCAAGATATTTATGATTGGAATTACAAATTTTGAAAACCGTTCGCCTGACGGTTTTCATAACACTACAGTCTATTGGGGAAAACGAGTATGGTAAAACCGGTCACTCAAAGATTTTTACTTTTTTGAGGCACTTCTTGATCATTTTGAAGCGCAATTTTTTTAGGGCTTCAATATTACACCATATCACAGACACTGATAACACGTAAGGCCGTGTATCTCAGATTTAACATTGTTAAACGATCCCTTTAAGTTATCAAACTCATGAGCACTTGGAATGAGAGACAGATGTAGGTCAGAAGGCAGCTGACCTCTTATGTAGTACCGGAATGGATTTTAAGTTAGACCAGGGAGTCTCCCTGGTTAGACTGATTGATGATTTAAAGGCACATGTAATATTTCAAACAATTTTGTTAATAGATTTTGTAAAATCAGTCTCAAGTTGATGGAAAGAAATTATTTCTCCAGTTATGATGACTGTTTTAGGTTTTAGTAAAGATTATTTGTATCAAGGTAGGCCTTAAAGACAGAATCTTTGTTTTTCTTATTGAAAAATAGATTTTTCTTGGATTAAAGGGTTTATTCTTTTTGTTTTTAAAACAAAATTCAGTTTTGTTTTTTATCTTACATTCTTTGCCAATTTATTAACATTTCATCAATATTTTGTGACTATGAAAAGTCAATAAGTTCTTTTCGGAATAACTCTTTGATTGATGATTGAAGGTATATACATGTACAAGTATTATATCATTTTGTTTTGTCAATGTAGCTCTTACATTTTTAAAAGCATAAATTACTGAATCTAAAACTAAAAAAACTCGGATAAAAAATGCAATTTTTTGTTGTTGGAAGTTGGAACAATCAAGCTATGTTGCCTAATTGCGAGTTCAAAAGAATAAAATTTTATATTAGAGTAGGGATTCTTTGTCGTTGTTGTTCTGTGTGAGTTTATTGTTTTTGTAATTTGCAATTTTGTTTTTGTAATTTTATTTTTATTGAAAGGAGGAAGAAACAATTCAGTTTAATCCAGGTGGATTCAAAGTATTGAAAATCAACTACAGTATCATGTAAAAGAGAGAAAAGATTATGAAATTATTTATTACTGAAAGGCCTCATTATTTACCAAGCCAATATGGGATGGCATATAAAGTGCTGAAGGGCTTCAATGAAGGACTTCACTTGGTCATGTAGGACTTCCTTTTGTTCGTATAATAGTAATGAATAATAACTCTAAGGAGGTCTCTTCACATTTAAAAGCAAGTTACGTACACTGTAGAGCTTTAATTTCACCTACATGTGAACAAAAAATTGCTTTTAGATTAAATTCACAAGCATCCAGTTCTTCGCAAACGTTGAACTAAAATCTGACACAACCTTAACTTTAGTCGGTTGACTTTCTACAAAATATCAAAATGGGCAAGTGAATTCAAGGAAAAAGAAAAACATGAAATGCCTTCAAAAAAAAAAAAAAAATTCCCACATGCGTGTCCGGACAGGCGTTTTCAAACAGCTATTTTAGGAAGTTAACAAGCAACAATTAAGACTTATGCTGGACAGATCATACAAATGATGGTTAGTCCTATTTCATGAATACTTTTCATTAAATCCAAAGGCAAAAAAGGGCTTTATGAACATGTATTAAAAAAAATGAATATCCTGACAAACAACCTCCATCTTACCTCATTCTTTCTACAGATTTTCTAATTTGAGTAGTTTCTGTGTCAACTTTGAAAGAATTCTGAATTACTTTAGTGAGCATTTTACTTGTGTATTTGTGCAAGTTTGCAAATACATGGCATGAAGTAAAGTAGTCATGTATTGAGTCTATAATATGGACAATAATTATTGAAATGCCTGGAGAGATATTAT